GGTCCGCTCGCATCAGTGTAGCACGAATGCTGGCAACAGACACACCAGCCGCAGTCTGGGCTTCCACAAGCGACTGCACAGTTTGGCCCCCGGTGAAAGAAGTACTCGCAGCTGCACGTTGTCTATGACACGCGTGAGCACGGGCATCTTCAGACGGAGGATGATTGTGAAGTCGGCTTCCATTTCTGGTGTGGACAATCTGCCACGGCCCTTGTGGGTCCGACGCCGAAGCAGCTTTTATGACAAGCTTCATGTTGCACCCCATTCTTTTCGACCCTCGCATAGGTCTAACACGATCTGCAGCCAGCAAGTGCTGTGTCTCTTTCGGCTTATCCGACCGATCGCAGTCGAGGCCTCTTTTCCAGACGAAGGTCTTAGCATCGTCAGTGTAGAATGCACGCCGTTTTGTCATGTTGAACCCGTGCTGCCTACTCCAGCGATGCACAGCGGCAAGAGCTTCAGACTCCGACTGAAACGTCTCTTCAGGTGGTGGTGGAATGACGAAGCAGGTCATTCTCACTTCAGCGTCCGTGATGCTGTTTGAGCTACGAATGGCCGTGTCGGTCATTTAGAAGAAGCGTTGGTCTAGTTTAGTGGCTGTAGGTGTGATGCTGAGCTCGGTTATAAAAGTGAATGAGGCTAGCCAAACGTTAACTTTTGAGCCACCTATACCATTCGCATGTCAGAGATATACATTGATGGACGGTATAAAATGCAATAGCTGTCGTTGGATTTCCACACGTATCGATCACACGGACATTTGGAATCAGGTGCTCGTCTACCGATTTGGTTGAAGTCGAAACGCCCAACCACTGACTTTGTTTTGTTCACGCTGGTCTTTTTTTGAAATGGCTATAGATTTGAAATGGCCCTCCTTAGACAATCCCCAATACGGACTCCGTATTGCGGAGAACCATCAGGTGGCTGCAGAACCATATTGCTAGCAGTAACATTTGTTCGTGCTGTTTATCTGTAAACTACGAGGCTCTCCACCTAGATTACATTTAAACATCATTTTCTCCTTTCTGCAACCGCTGACCAATCAGAATTGATCTTTATTTCTCCAGGCTGAAACTTATAATAGAAGCTTGTCAGCAATTTTACGAAAGGGTTATACAGCAATACTTGTACTTAAGTAATAGTGCTGACGCCGACGTTAGGACATCTCCGCGTGCAAGCGCCCCCACTTTCTCCTTGATACTTTATTGAGACGAGTATCATGGCAACAGCATTGTGTGACAGGGTCAAATGAAAGCCATGGCTCAGGATTTCCGAGTAGAACCAGGTGCAATGACAGCTGAGGATCAATTTGCAAAAGTACACTGCCAGTGATCACTCCACCGACCACAAGCGACCAGATCGTGCATAGGCATCAGCTTTACCCATTCCTATCATGGGGAAAGCTGATGATGCATATCATGCTTCTTGTACCTGAACCGGTTGGCTTAGCATGAAGTCCTACCAACATCCGAGTTGGCATAGTCTCATTCCTCATTCTTCCACCTATCACCACGACCTCCTCTCATCCATACTGGCTCCACTATGCCGTCGCGGCTTAAACGTATACCGGTGACGTTCACCGTGTTGTTGGCTCTCTCAACGCATATTTCTAACGTGAATGCCAAAACCGAGACAGCTTCAAACTGGCCCAGTCTTCAGTTCGATTTCACGGTCAAGCGCAACTCGATGAATGTCTACGGCCGGTCGGAATTCACCATGTCGATCAACCCTGCTGTATCGGGCGCTAACAGCCAGGTGCTTTACGACGTCTACTCTACCTTCTCGGACGGCTCCAGTACGACGAGCTACATGCTGCTGAACGGTGTCGGCTACCTGTCATGCGACTCCACCGATCCTCCGTCCGTGTCGTGTCTGGACACTGAAGCAGACATGCTGCCACCGGTTAACGAGATCGTGAAAGCGATTAATAAAGCGACCGCTGCGCCAAGCAGCGCGGATAGTAACACTGGAGAGTGCTCTAACGGGATGTTTCAGGTATCCATAAACGGCATCAGCTTTGCTTTATGTGCGTCGGGTTCGTCCGGATTTACGATGACGGGAAGAGATTTGGATATTGAAGTGAAGTTCCTTGAGACCCCAGTAGACATTGTCAAACCAACAACCGTTAAAGAGTGTCAGAATGTAGTGACAGCGAGTTCTGTGACGCCGATTGGAATGTCCTTACTCACTGGTACACAGACTCCAGCTGAGAGGAACTTGGGAGCCGCGTTCGACTTGGACCTCTGGAAAGATGACGGGTAGACTTTTATTTGGATCATATTTCGATCATCACATAAATGGTCAGCTGATCAAATCCCTTGACCCTGTCGAAAGTTGATCAAATCCCTTGACCCTGACGAAAGCTGATCAAATCTGAAGTGACTTGAAATTGTTTTCATGCACAAGTCCTTCTACATGCATTTCTAAATATACAAAAAATTGCATTACCTTTACTACTCTACGTAATCTACGCGTTCGTCGTTAAGGTGTCTGCACTTCCTCCAAGTTCCACAGGAACAGGGAGATCTAGTGGCTCAGGAGCTCGACGTTGCCGTTTCTTCGCTCGGGACTTTGACATATCCTCAATTCGGTTGACATAGCGTTTCGATAGAGCTTGGATTATGCCGACAAATGATGGTAGAGAAGGGTGTGGAGCTGTTAGCTCCGCGTTTATCTCGCGGTTAAAACGCTCTAAAGGATTATTAGTACGACTTACCATAGCAGCATCCACCTCATGAACATTCCAAACACTAGGTGTGTATGTCTTCAGCCACGTTGTACGAAAATACGACCAAAACCGCTTCCACAACACATCCGAATACCGAATGCTCTTAGCCACACACGTGTCTCTTATCTTGCCTTTCACAAATCTGATGCCTTCGTCTTTGATCTTCTCGTGCGGAATGACAGTCAGCATATCCAGACAGCCCTTACTCATTGCAATGATGACCTCACTTTCAGGGAGGCTTAGTGCCTTCATCTTCCTTCGGCAGGCCTGCTTAAAATGAAAGTAGCAGCCGACGATATCTGCATCTGGAAATTGAACTTGTGCTGCCTTTTGCAATCCAGCCTCAAAGTCACAGACTACCATGCTCGGCTCGATTTTGTCGTCTGCAGCGACATTGACGGCCTCCATCAAATGCCAGTACGTATCTTGGGTCTTTGACGTGCACAATGTATAAAATACGGGGACGAATAGGTCCGTTGCATTATCAAAAACCATCATTACCACGCACTGGTAGAATGGGTGCGGGACGCACCTGAATGTCCCGTCGAGAAACAACGTAGTCTGTTTGTACTTCAGTAGCTTGATCAGATCAGGATGAGCCCAACCGACTAAGCGCTCTAGTGTTGTTCCATTCATATAGGACCTGTAAAATTGAAAGAATGGCTGTGTGGTCCCCGATACCAGTGACAGCGGCGGAACCTCCACAATACCATGCAAATCTGCGCCAAAGTGAGCACGTCTCGCTCGGTGAACTCGCTGGAGGACTTGCTCACGTGTAAGTCCGAATTGCACCAGTGATACTTCCTCAGGGTAGAAGTCGCTGCGAATCTGCTTCCAGATTCGTTCCGCCGTCAAGTCCATTCGAGTGATAGCCATCACATCAGTGGCCTCCTCCATGTCTTCGGTAACATCTACTCCAGGTAATTCCACTCTACGCCGGTCGCAAGAATGTTCACCACGAAATTGGTACTCATTTGTCTTGATATCGTAATGTAACTTTGCCTTGCATTTTGTACTCCGGTAGGAACTACACCTGTACGAAATCTTAACCTCCGATTTATGGTAGCCTGTAAATGCGTGACCAGCTGCATGGACAACAGTGCGACGATGATGCTGAACACTGTTTGCTGGAACATGCAGTGGAATACCTTCAGCGGCTTCTTCGTCTGCAGGATGCCCAGTAGAAGGTGAATTTGATATGGCACACTGGTGATCGCCTTCTCTACTCAAAAAAGCTGGAGGTGATCCTCTTAAGCTGCCAGGCCAACGCTCGCTGCAGGCATCGCTAGAGCCTCGTTGAGGAGCTAAGCTTCTTCCCTGAGCTGCACGTTGTCGAGGACTGCAATCGCGCCGAGTGTAAGAACTACAGCGACGACTTGGGCTTCGGCGTCGACTCGACCAGCTCACGTAACTTGAGCTTCTCCGACGACTCCGTCTCTGATCATGTCCAACGGTACGCTGAGGACTTCGGCTGTAGCGGCAATGCGAAGAGCGCCAAGACAAACTTGTGCCGCGCCAGCGACTTTCACGGGGTTGTACAGAAGAGATCTGGTGCCTTGGGCTATATCCTTGGAGATACATGCGCCGACGACTTGTACTGCGGTTGCCACCGCGAGTGCGCCGCCGACTTGGGCTTGGACTGCGACCGCGACCATAACTCCGCCGGCGACGTGGGCTTGGGCTGCGACCGCGACCACGACTATGACTGCGCCGACGACTTGGACTGTGCTCGCGACCGGGCGAGTGACGACGACGTGAGCTGCGGCCACGACCAGCAGAGTCTTGATGGCGTGGACCGTTGCAGTGGTTGTCGACACGCCAACAGCTTGGACTGCGGCAGGAACGAGACTTACTCCAGCGACGTAAAATACGTCGCGAAGCTGAGACGCTCTGAGAGATTGGGTTTCGCATGCGTTCGGGGCTGTGCCGAGATCTCGCAGTGGTCTGGTGCCTTGGACTGCACGGAGGCGAGCAGATAGTGGCCTCGTGAAGTGTTGAAGAAGGTGCTGGAGACGCTACAGCTTGCTGGTTCATGGTCGTACAGGAAGGGCGCTACTTATCTTCGTTGTCGGGAAAGTGTAAATGACGGAGGTGGTCGACCACACATATCCGTACTTAAGATGGATATTTGATCAAATCACTTGACCAGGTACGAAATAGAAGGTTGACCGTTTTTGTGATGATCGAAATATGATCCAAATAAAATACTTCGAGATGACGGGGTTCTTGTACTTGCAAATCGACCAAGCGTCCGTGTCTCTTTATCCACGGCATGGGTGTTGATAAAGAGGAGCCAGAAGTCGTCGATTCCTTCTCGTTCTATTGGGGCAACTTAACCGACCATGCGCCGTGTTGCTCTTCCTTCAAGTACACTGTGCTCAATACAGTGGACAACGCCTGGACGAATGATACTTTGCAGCAACAAGTCTGCGATCGAGCTGTCTCGGTGAGTCAAAGAAGCTCTAAAACTGTAATTGCCGATACGATTATCATCACCCATTCGATGGGCAATCTCATGGTAGCTGGAGCTATTGCAACTGGCAAATGCAGCCTGGATGCAAGCTCCACGTGGGTCGGTCTGGCTGGCCCAATGCAAGGAAGTATGGCGTCAGATTTTGTCCAAGACACGTGCGCTGGCAAGACGAATTTTCTTCTAGAGAAAGTTGCGAATATTACGGGACGATGTCCTCCAACTGTAGCGCTTCCCGTCTCAAGGTGGGGACTACAGCTCTGATGAGTTGACTGCAGCGTATACCGCTGCTCAGGAGGCGTATACAAAAAATGTATCCGCTCTCATGTGTAGTGCAGGATATTCTGGTCTGCCTTCAAAGTACCAGGCTCAATTTTGGCTTCTTGGAAGGGTGGTGCCGTACAAATCTGACCACAACGACGGCATGGTGGAATTTGACAGCTGTGCGGCTAGTCGAAATTTGGCGATACGTGGAGATCCAAATTTTACAAGACGAAACTCAACCACTACGACAGTGAATTTCTATACGGCGATTTATTGCTAGACGAGAAGAAGATGCCTATCAAGTGGTTCGAGTGCTTGCTTTAAGCTGTAGCTAAGCTAATCTTGAAATTTTAAGACTGGTGTAATGTAAAATTTATTTTTTACGTAAAATGTCTTGCTATAGTAGACATTCAAACCATTTCAACGGCATCTTCTCCTCGTCCAGCAACCAATCACCGGTTTGAAACCCCAGGTCGTAATGATTTAATCTTGTCTTGTAGAATCGGGACTTCCAGGATTTTTCAAATTCCGACTCTGGAAGTCCAAACGCGCAGCTTTCGAACTCGACCATGCCGTCGTTATTGCGAGATTTATGGGGAACCATCGTACCCAACGCCCAGAACTCAGCTTGATATTTGGATGGAATCCCAGAGTACCAGTAGCTACACATGGCTGCATACACATTATTCTTGTAAGCTTCTTGAGCTGCCGTGTACGCCTCATCAAGCTCTTCTGTGTTGTGATCCCCACCTTGATACGCCAATGATTTCAGCGCAGTGGTGACAGGACATCGTCCCGTAATATTGCCAATCTTCTCCCAGACAATATTAGTCTCACCTGCGCAGGATTCCTGGACGAAATCGGAGCACATACTTCCCGTCATAGGAGCAGCCAATCCCACCCACGTCGAGCTGGAATCCAGACTGCATCTCGTGTTAGCAAGCGCCCCAGCAAACATGAGATTCCCCATCGAGTGCGTCACCACAATAGTATCCGAGATCGTGGAATCCGTACTGGTTTCGCTCACTGCAAGTGCTCGATCACAAACTTTATCTTGCTGTTCAGTACTCGTCCAAGTGTTGTTCACCGTGTTCAGATGCGCAAACTGCAAAGACGAACAACACGGTGTGTGGTCGGGTAAGTGGTCACCCCAGTAATCCGTGAAATTCTCCAAATTTTCCGGAAGTTCTTCTTTGACGCCCATGCCGTGGATAAAGATACACGGACGAGGTGTCGATTTGCAATCGCACGAAGACAAAGCCCCGAATGAAAAATCGATTGCAGCTTTCAACTTTCTTGTCGGGTTTGGAAGTGGCTGACCGGTTAGAAAAGACTTTCCCAGTGGTGTAACGGGACTTGGTACTGCAATAGCCCCGCAATGGTCGGGATATGGTGGCTGTTGAATATCCACTGGGTTGTCGAGATACTCGACGCTTACGTCCATATCGCCACCTTGCAGAGTAAACCCTGACGAATCTGATGCACACAATGCGAAGTCAAAGCCGTTGACGGTAGCCTTGAACAATTTTCCCCTTGGACACTGAATTACACTGTCGTCAGTGTTTACCGGGATTGCATCATCAAGCGCGCTGACGATAGCGTTGATCGGTGGGAGTTCTCCAAGTTCAGAGTCAAGACAATTTGTGGATGGAGCGCCGCTGGAATCTTGGGAAGAACTAGAAGAGAAGCCCATTCCATCGACTAGAGAGTAATTGTAGACTGTCCTACCATCGTTTAGAGTTGAGAAAACGTCGTAGAGTACGTGCATGTCATCGGCGGAAACGATAGGGTTTGCGAACATGGAGAACTCGGACTGGCCGTGTACGTTCATGGAGCTTCGCTTAACCTTGAAATGGAATTCCAGAGCTGGCCACCCAGTCTTTGATGCACTTGAAGAAAGCGCAAATACTTGTACCAAGACCACAACGGCCCACATAAGCAGAGATACCATTCTAGTAATACCCCGGAGCCTGTCACGGTGCTAACCTTTGACGAAAGAATGTAAAATGAGCTGAGGATCTGCCACCAACTCCGTCGGGATAGCCCCATGCTTACGCGTTTTGCCTCACGCAAACCCAGGCAAATCTTAAGCTCTTTATAATACAATTTGAATGGTGTACGGTTAAAGCGACATGACAGAGGGGATGCTTCATCATGAAGCGCGAATTGCAGGCTACTTCGCTATCATTGATATCCCTTCTGTATATAATACATGTACTACGAAGTATAAAAGAGATAGCCAACGCATGGTCGGTTAAGTTGCCCCAATAGTACGAGAAGGAATCGACGACTTCTGGCTCCTCTTTATCAACACCCATGCCGTGGATAAAGAGACACGGACGCTTGGTCGATTTGCAAGTACAAGAACCCTCCGATGAGCCGTCATCCTTCCAGAGGTCCAAGTCGAACGCGGCTCCCAAGTTCCTCTCAGCTGGAGTCTGTGTACCAGTGAGTAAGGACATCCCAATCGGCGTCACAGAGCTCGCTGTCACTACATTCTGACACTCTTCAACGGTTGTTGGTTTGACAATGTCTACTGGGGTCTCAAGGAACTTCACTTCAATATCCAAATCTCTTCCCGTCATCGTAAATCCGGACGAACCCCTAACAAGCTTATGTATTCTGATGCCTCGAGCACAAAATTAACGAAACAAGTCACCCCTTCATGCAATCCCATGAGTACTATGTAACGAGAAAAACGATCCACCGCGAGTAAACAATTCGATCCATTTTTGATCAAGCATTTAAACTTAAGCTTAGTACTACAGCGTATTAGTATTAATACATGAACTTAACTCAGCACCCTCGAATAATTGCAGGTGACATCTTGGGAGACAGCAGCATCTTCAATACGTGTGATGTTCATTGTTTTCCGAGTACAAAGTCCCCCTGAATAAGCGTAAGGTTTAGATAGGGGAACATGTTATATACTTTTAGAGGTATTTTGGCAGATCCGCTAATAGCACGCCTTTTAAAAAACATGCTGAGCAGATATAGCAGGGTATTCAAAAATCATTACTACGCTTATTCAGGGGGACTTCTGTAGTTCACAAGGGGAGCTACTTAAGATTTGTAAACCGACCGGGTTTCCCAATAAAATACGAAACAGGGAGGAGGGGGGGGTGAAAGCTGACTCGCTTGAATTCGTCAAAAGGGCGAGACTTTTATCGAGCGCTTTAGCAATCTAACTTAGTTCAATCAGTCGAGGTTAATGCCTCGCTTTCCTGTCGTTTTCGAGGGCATCGGCTCGCCAGTGAGGAGTGCGTGTCCAATTGCGCTCACGGAGCTTGATAGCCCCAAGTCTTTGCACCTACTCGCCTCCTTGCGGTCCATTGTCGGCGGTTTGATATCAATCTGGTTGTCCAAATATTCTACCGAGACCTCCATATCGCTGCCCTTCATTGTAAAGCCAGTCGTCCCCGTAACGCAGATCTCGTAGTCTGCGCCATTGATCGTCGTCTCGTACGCACCTCCTGTCGTGCACGTGGAAGCTGCACTACCATTTCCAGACGCAGCCGTGGCCTCGCTAACAGCAGCCACGATAGAGTTAATAGCCGGCAGCTTGCCGGACTCGGAGTCCAAGCATACCGTTAGCGGTGTCGGAACGCCCGAAGAACTCCCAGTCGTGAACGGAGTCATCTCCGAGTACGCGATACCGTCTACAAGTGTATAGTTATGCAGAGCCTTGGGCTGCGTGAAGGTGGCGTATACGTCGTATAGGACGTTTTTGTTGGCGTCCTGCACGGTCGGGTTGGCGTACATGTCGAATGAGGTCTGGTCATACACCTTCATGGTCTCTTTCTTGATGGTAAAGTGGAAGCGCAAGGCCGGCCATTCCAATTTCGTCCCCGTCCGCTGAGCTGCGATCGTCTGTGCAGCGAATGCGACGAAAGCCGCGATAAACATGAGGAAGCGAAGACTTGAGCCCGACATCTCGGTGGCGACCTCAGATGCCTCGACCAGAAGAAAGCGGGAATGCAAACGACTTGATGGTCCGTTCCTGCTCCTGCTGTTCTGTTCCAATCCTCCCAAGCACATCATTGAATTATCGACAAAGTGAGTACAGTGGCAAAAAGAAGTTGAGAATCGTCTTTGCAATGAAAATTTGCGTCTTTGGGTCCAGTGGCTTGGCATTTTCTCTCTTTGCATCTGTTAAAGCGTCGATTGAGAAAGCGGAGTTGCTTTCAAAAAATCAAATTGGATCAAATTTTGGTCGACGGAAAGGAGAAGGCAAAGCCCAAGATGTAATCTCGTGTACAATACCGGTAACGGTATGGGTGGAGTCACTCCACCCTCCACAAGCTTGTTTACCACCGTGAACGTTTCCTTCAAAGTCTACCGTTTCGGAAAACTTTGTCGACCAACATCCTATCTGTATCCATACTACATGTAGTACAGTACTGGTATTCCATGAACTCGATATAAATTGGGAAGCCCAAAGGGAGACTCTTTACGATCCACAATCAGAAAAGTAGGAGCGCGGCTCAGCAAAGCAGCATTTAGAGCAATGGACGAAGTCTTAGCCTCGCTATCAAGAGCTATCCAACCTTTAAGACGGGATACATCTTTCACCTTTGTCGTGCGAAGTGGTAGAATAAACAACCATTCTCGTTCAGCGAATACAGCGAGTCCGTGATAATTACTGACCTTATAAATATTGATATAATACCCGTAAGGACGATATGAAAGCCGTCTTCATAGTAAGGTATTTCTCCCCGCAATCATAAAGCTTTAAGTCTACGCAGAAGGAGATAAGGTTAGCCCTACGATTCCGGTGATTTTATCGGGTTGGCAAACTACTTGTCTAAGCTACAGTAGTAATTTAGAACTTGAGGTCAGATTTGATACATTACTTCAAAAGTAGTATCGCAAAATGCAGACCTCAAATATAAACTAAGCACGAAGTTACTTACGAAGTTACTGTCATGTCTGTTCTTCTTGGGTACCAAGAGGTCATTATCTATTTAGCTGCAGAGGAGCTGACCACCAAACTTTATTCAACAAGTGATACGTGTATCAGTGACAAGAATCCCGACTTATTAATAGTTGGGAGCTAGTTAAAAAGGGTTGTATCTTACTCATAGCAAGACTCAAATCATTGGCAAAAATAATTAGAGATTTGTTACAAGAGTTGTTACTTTCATTACCACATTAACACAAACCATCTACGCTCTGACTTACAACAGACATTCAAACCACTTGACTGGCATCTTGGCCTTATTCAACGTCGAGTCGCCAGCAAGGAACTGCATGTCGAAATGGTTGAGCTTGTTCCTGTAGAAACGGTCGCGATATGTGTTGCCAAACTTTGATTCGGGAAACCCGACGGCGCAGCTCTGGAACTCAACCATGCCATCGTTCTTCTCGGACTTATGAGGCACCACGTTGCCTAGCAACCAAAATTTCGCTTGATAACTTGACAACAATCCGGAGAAACCTTCTCCGCAACTAAGCGCGTATACATTCTCTCTGTACGCCCTCTGTGCTGCCTTGTACGCAGCATCCAGCTTCTTAGAGCTGTAGCTCCCACCTTCATACGCCAAAGACTTTATCGACGGTTGAGGGGGACATTTGCCCGTTACTTGTCCAAATTTCTCGAGGACAACGTTCGTCTTTCCTGAACACGAGTCTTGGACGAAATCGGAAGCCATACTGCCCTTCATCGGCCCTGCCAGACCCACCCACGTCGAGCTGGAGTCGAGTTGGCATCGTCCATTAGCAAGAGCGCCAGCGAACATGAGGTTACCCATTGAGTGTGTGACAATAATTGTGTCGGCGACGGTAGTTTTTGTGCTCGACTCGCTGACGGCGAGAGCTCGGGCGCACACTTTTTCTTGCAGAGTTGCGTCTGTCCAGGCGTTATGGATCGTATCCAGTCTCGCGTACTTTAGCGAAGAGCAACACGGAGTGTGGGCTGTTAAGTTGCCCCAGTATTTGGGGAACTCGTCTTGGTTTTCGGGCATTTCCGGTGGATGAAAATGCACGGACGCGGTGTTGATTGGCAGGAACACTTCGACATTTTATCCAATGAGAGGCCAAAATTGAACGCAGCTTTCAACTTTCTCTTTGTGTCTTTGGGTAGTGGCGCTCCTGTGAGTAGGGCGTGGCCAAGCGGTGTCGTGGACGTGGACGAAGCCTGGGAATTGCATTTCTCCGTAGAGTTCATCGTCGGAGGTTGAATGTCGATATGATTCTCCAAATACTCGACCGAGACGTCCATATCGCGGCCTTGGAACGTGAAGCCCGTAGTGCCTGAAACACACACCGTGTAGTCGATTCCTTTCATCGCAGTAGTGTAGGAACTCCCTGTCGTACACGCAGTACCGGTGCTGCTATTTCCAGGCTTCGCTTCATTAGCAGCCGCAACAACCGAGTTGACTGCTGGAAGCTTGTCAAACTCGGCGTCCACGCAGGAAACTAACGGGGTGGGGGCACTTGACGAGCTGCCGGTCGTGAACGGAGTAGTCTCTGAGTACGCGACGCCATTCACGAGCGTGTAATTATGCACGCCCTTGGAGTTCGTGACGGTGGCGTAGACATCGTAGAGTACGTTCTTGTTATTATCCAGGACTATTGGGTTGGCGTACGCATCGAAAGTAGTCATCCCGTAAACTTTCATCGTGTCTTGCTTGGTACTGAAGTGGAAACGCAACGCTGGCCATGCTAAAGGTGTCCCGGTCTTGAGTTTGTTCCAATGTTGCGCATCCAACACGCTATGGTCCGCTGCGCTCGCGAATTGAAGAAGCGAGATGAGAGCCACTGATAACCTTCCAAGAGAGAGCGACATCTAGGGCTAAATGGAGAAGAAAAGGAAATGAGCTCCGCAATCTCTTGATGTACAGTACGGGACCTCATCGGGAGGGCCCTCGCACAAAAAGTACACGATTGGGATAGGCAGAGGAGATAGTCAGTAAGTACCAGTATAATACCGGTTATAAAAACCGTTCCCGTTTCAAAAAACCTTCCCGGTACAAATCGCGTTCCCGTTACAAATCGTGTTCCCGTTACAGCGAGGCCGTGGGGGTATGCAGGAAGAGAACCTTACTTAGATCAGAGAGAAAGAGGAATAGACGTCGCTTAAACACATTCGTAATTCCGTCAATACATTGTGGATGACACCAAACATCAAACCGTAGAGAAAACAGGTATTTTTCACATTGTTTGTGTGGTGTTCACTTGTGTTTAAACGACGTCTATTCCTCTCTTTCTCTCTGATCTAAGTAAGGTTCTCTTCCTGCATACCCCCACGGCCTCGCTGTAACGGGAGCACGATTTGTAACGGGAACGCGATTTGTAACGGGAACGGTTTTTGAAACGGGAACGGTTTTTATAACCGGTATTATACTGGTACTTGCTGACTATCTCCTCTGCCTATCCCAATCGTGTACTTTTTGTGCGAGGGCCCTCCCGTACAGTACCGGTATCACATCTCTTATGATTAGTGGAATGCCTCAAGTCCATACGTTTTCTTAAAGCGGATAATCTATGAAGGTCGAGGCGAAAACACCCATAAAATACGTCTAACAAAAATTTTCTCCACACCAATTTTTAAAATCTAATATAAAACTATTTTAGAAACGGCCAGCTTTTAATAGAATCAATGTCCAAATTTAAACTACAGTAGTAGGAGGACACAAAAAAGGAGGGGGAGTGGAGCACAAACACCGAAGATACATGTACTTAGAAATTAACGTCATACTGGTTTTATATTATCTCATATATGAGACCGCAGAAAAAAAAAGTTTTAAGCTGAAATATGAAAACTGAATTGCCTCTTCCAGCGTGATTTGAGGCTTAAATTTCAGCAAAGACAACTGCTCCTCTGAAGCCTAAATCACTACCGAAAGCTCGGTTTTGTTTTGCGACGCGCATTTAGACGTATTTACATGTAGTCACAAAACCGTCCTTTCCTGCAGCATTTTTATGGAAATTATGATATAAGGGCATCTCCACCGGCATTTGCGAAAAATTATGCACTTCGTGACGAAAAATATAAAACGACTCGGTTTTGGGCAAGTCTGATCCTTGTATTAATAGTGTACGTATGCGAAAGAGCAATAATTTATAAATTCGGTCCGCAAATGGTTTACCTATCTCTCTAATTGATCATAAGCACACCCATCACTCTAACTAGACTAGTTATGGTGAAGCATCCTGAAAGGAAAATTTGCGCACGATTAATTAGGGTGCATGATTAATAGTGGTGCACGACTAATTATGGTGATTTTGAAAGTCCACATTAAGCTTTTTATTACACTGATGCACTCGCAGTAGCCTCCTGCTATCCTGTACTGAAATCCTCACTGCATCTCGCAATGATATCATGCAACGACTTACTTAGCTGATTTGCCTCCCACTTACCGTTGAGGGTAGAGCCGTTCCCAATGACCGTCTATCTTGCGGCCACAGCCCGAGAGAGCCTTGTGAATGAGCTGGTGTCGACCTCCGAGCGCCGTTCTTGCGTACTTATGCTGCTCTTGCTCTTCTAGTGCAATCTGAAGCAAGGAGCGCTTTTTTTATTCCGTCTCTGTCAGCACTTTAAAGCTCTGGGTTGTCCGAACTACGTTTGTTCAGAAATGGATTGCTTTCGCTAATGGATTCTCTCTATCGGATATATTAGCAGTATTCTGCAACCATTTCGCAGCTTTCGTGCTGCAATTCTTGAGTCCGTACCTTTCTGGAACGTAACACCACAATTATGGGTACCGGTAAAGCAGCTTTCAAAGTATTCGCGAAAGTCTGTTGAAGCATCTTCTTCGGCTCCGCCAATGAAGTCTGTAGCGTTTAACCAAATGAAAGTCGTCTCAGTACAACAGTGCTTCGCAGTAGCTAAGCGAACCCAGAATACGGCATTTTTGAGTGTAAAGCGCAAGAGGTTTGGATCAAGCCAATTTATTGCCTTGTTTAGGTTCAGCGGAGCGAAAAAGAGTTGGAAATTGTGCAATGGCGCGCCTTTTTCACCGTTTTCAATCATGTCTCCTTCCATACATTGCACGCATCGCTCGCGGTCAGCGACAGCAACAACCTGCTGCAACGTGCGACCTCCTTCTTCGGACATTTATTTTGTTGTGGCACGGCTTGAGAGGCTTGCTCGCCGAGTTGAGGCCTGCTGGCCACTCGCTGGAATGGTTAATTGTGGTGCACGTCTAATTATGGTGCACGATTATTTGTGGTGCATGACTAATTATGGTTATGTTACCCTAAATTATCTCTTTAGTACGATGCACGACTACTTTCGAAGCACGACTAATTAGAGTGAAGGGTACTAAAACAAAAATCGGGATTACACGCGGGCCCAGATCTGCACGTTTTTGGGCAAATTTAGTCTGAACACTTTCTACTAAAAAGTACTTCGAAGTACCTAGAAAGTTTCATTTATAGTGTGCATGCGTACTAAAACACTCCGCGCCACATTACACCACGCATCCACGTCGGTGATTAATGTGTTGCAGTGTCAAAATCAATGGTTTGTATTGGAGCCCTGGTGTAAACAACAAAATCGCAATCGCTAGCACGTGTAGCCTACTTTGTGCGATAACAGGAACAACATATCTAAATAGCATGCCCAAACTCTAAAAATTGAGTGAGCTACAGCAACCGACGTGGGTGCGTGATCTAATGTGGCGCGGAGTGTAGAAAATACGCATTGCGTTGCATAGTCACCCGCATGGTTTTATGTCCAGAAATGGCTAACGCATAGATTTACGCAAATGGCCCCTCAAAAGCCATTTATTAATAGCAATAAGGCCGCTTGGCGAGTTGACTGAAAATTGGTATACTGGTAACCGGGATAACCCAGGGGTACATAGATGTACAGGATTACGGTGGAAGTCCTGACATATGTCGACGGTGCTTGATATGACGGAGCATATAATAACGGATATATATTGCGTATTGAAAATATAGATCGTCAGTCCCCAGTTAATCTTGGACGCTTCGCTCACGTTGCATGAAATTATCGGGCCTTTAACACGCTATCTCCAGATCAATGGGTGCAAAACCGGGCTTCCTATGGGCTAATGATAGAAAAATTAGATCAGCAGAAAAGGAAGTGGAGAGAACAAATATATAAAGTTCATGCTTGTTGTTTGATTTTACGTGTCGAGGCGGTCGCGTTTAAATTAGCTAATAATTAAGTACGCAATTGACCTTGAGTGCAAGGCATGTTCTAATGAGGGTCATGGATCATCAATAGACATCATCATGATTACATGTAATGGTTTGTACCGGGTTTTCGAGCTCGTGAAGTTAAAGTTTTTTTGGTATGACCATGATAATGGCCATGATTTCGTGTCATTGTTTGTACCAGGTTTTCAACAATGTGAAGATGCATTTCTCGTTGATATAATCATGACAATGACCAGGATTTGTGTCTGGGTTTGTACCAGGTTTTAAAATATCGTAAATTCCACCAATTTTACAGTAGTATGTGACAGGTTTTTGCCAAATTAACTGATTTTCATGCACCCAGGTAACGGATTCGCAATACCCCGATTGCTCTCGTATTTTCAGACTTTAAGCTTACGTGGTATGTACAGTAACAATTTAAGGTTCTAAAGTACTGTATTACAGATTGGCGGATAGAATTATAAAGCGGGCGCTAATGAGGTCAGGATGATTGCGAACGCTTTTCACTTTCTCGTCAAGTAGGCGCTAGAAGACGTTGCGGACGTACACACCGCAGCTGTTGCCTTTGTTCTGGGTAGGAGATACAGCCACAACCAGCTTGTATTTGCTAAATATATTGTCCTTTCTTATGCTCGCTTGAACCTTGTTTAGGAAGGCAATGTAGTCCTGGTATCCGGGTGGATCGTATACAAACATGATTTCCGCCCACGTGTTGATAGCGTTAATGAGCTGTGGAGCCATTACCCAAGTGTGGTGCACGAATGCATACACAACTGACCAGGCGATGGTCGACGCAGTCGTAACTGGTGCCGCGCCGAGCATGACACCGTGGTGATGTCTGCTTGCCTCACCATGGTTTGGTACCCGAGAGTACTCGGTGTCAATGCCAGATACTCGGCGCGTTGCGTCCATCGCGTACCGCAACCGCTTTGTCGGCGGGTGAGACTTTTCGTTCACCCTACGCGACAGGCCATTCATGACCAAGGGACCTGTGCATTGATTGCACCAGGATCGCGCTTCACCCTTAATAGTGTGCCTTTGCATGCAACCACAACACTACTGATTCCATCAGCGATTCCGAGGCACCTAGCGTCAGTGGCTACCGTCATGACTCTGTCTTGTTTGGCTAGTGCTGCCGCAGCTCTAGTCCGGCTGTTCGCTTCCAGCCTGCAGACGATGCACCTCAACGCCTGGTTCCTTAAGGCTCATGGTCTTACCTCAAGACCTGAGAGAAGAGGTTTTTATCGAGCCCCTCCCCCACTTACATCTGATATCGCGTGGCTTGGGATCGCCACTGACAGCACGACAGCTACCTGTCTCGCGGAAAGTCAGGAAGGAAAGATATTTCTGAGCCTCTCCCCCACTAAACCTCGCGACTACTGAGTCTCTCGTGGCTTGTGATAGCCACTGGCAGGCATGACGGCTATCCGCCGCGTGCACTGTGCCGGCATAAATGACCGCGTTGGCCGTGCCGACCGAAGGCATCCAGCCTTCGCGTCAGCCGTTTGAGTCTGCGTGACTTGACGTCAAGCAAGTGTTCACGTCTGGCGAGGCCAAGACAGCCTCGCGCCTCGAGCCAATGGCTTCGTGTGCGGAACTATGTTACCCGCCTTGGTTGTGGAACCGTGTTTCCCACCTTGGTTGCGTGAAACTCTGTTACCCAC